TAACTCAAGGTTTACATCGCGGTATACCTTGGGGCTTACCGCTAGGTTTACTTCAAAGTTTACCGGGATGTTTGCCTCAAGGTTTAACTCAAGGTCTACCACAAGGTCTACCTGGAGGTTTGCCTCGAGGCTAACCTCGACGTTTACCTCGCATTTACCTCAAGGTTTACCCTTGGAATTTACCTAGAGGGGTTAGGTCTACCTGGAGGTTTAATACCTCTATATGTTTACCTCGAGGTTTACGTAGGTTTTATGGGTTTTCAATACGGTTTACCCTGGGGTTTAACATCAAGTTACCGCATAAAATTGTGTATTCATCAGCTTCTAAGCAACTTTACTTCAATCTAAAAATTAGGGGTTGTAAAAATGTGAACATGAAAAGAGAACAAGTGGACTTAGCATACTTCAATAATCTCGTAATCAATTTTGTTTGTTCCCAAAATTTGCCTGTTTGCTCAAAAATGTGACCTTTCCCGAATTTCCTAGTCAAGAACTATTTTGGATGATGGCAACTTACAGAATGTGTGTTATTAGTGCCAAGCCCGCTAATGTCGAGGAATCCCAGCCATTGTTGCAATGGACTACCAAGTCTGTGCCCTTGTAGCTACACTCGCAACCGGCGGGACATCGCTTCATATCTATGATCGCAAGAGGACATAGTTTTAATCAAGTTAGTCACAAAGTACAATATCAGGTCATAAGTCACGTCACAAGTCAGGCCACAAATCAGGTCACAAGTTGGGTCACACGTCAGGTCACAAGCAAGGTCAAAGGCAAGGTCACAGGTCAGCTCAAGCAAAGTCACAAGCAAGGTCACAAGTCAGCTCACAAGTCAGGTCACAAGTCAGATTACAAGTCGGGTCACAAGTCAGCTCACAAGTCAGCTCACAAGTCGGATCACAAGTCGGGTCACAAGCAAGGTCACAAGTCAGGTCAGAAGTCGGGTCACCATCGGGTACATAAAAATCAAGTCTAGTCATTTCCAAAATTGGGTCACTATCAGGTACATAAAAATCAGGTCAAGTCAGTTCCAAAATCGGGTCACAATCGGGTATACAAGTCAGGTCACAATCGGGTCACAATCGGGCACATTCAAGTCAGGTCACAGGTCAGTTCCAAAATCGGGTCCGTTTCGGGTATACAAGTCAGGTCACAAGTTGGGTCACGCAGGTCAAGTGACCATACCGCATTGAATTTCGTCGTCAGACTCTGGGCAGTTCTCCTCTCCGTCACAAACTTGCGCCAGTGGAATGCACTGCGCCTGAGAAAGGTTGCCAGTGAAGGAAGAAGACATTGAACTGGTGTTGAGGTTGTTGCACTTGTAGAAACCTGGGCAGAAGATGTCGTCTGTTGCAAAAAAATGTGGGAAAACATAATGAAATCTGAGAAGTTGAATACTCACTCGTCTATCTACGTCTTTATGACAAAACAATTGTTTTACGATGAGGCTACAACATTAAAGATGGGTCTCAGTATACGTGGAGTCAAACCGCGAGCGATGTACCTGCGTGCAGTGCTGTAGCTGAGCTCCTCACAAATTCTATTACAAGTCCAGTCCCAAGTCGCGACTGGCGCTGACCCATGCCTTCTACTTTTGTGGCCCAGGTCCCAAGTCTGCATTTGTATGGGTTCCCCCGCATTTAAACCATTAGTCCCAGTGCTATTATATGTTTAATTTTTTTTATAGGAAAAAAAACTTTTTTATGGGCCCTCCTCTTGAAGAATCCTTGGTTCCATTACGAGAAATAAGTAAGAAAACTTCAAGACAGTTTGAGATGACAGACTCACCGCAGTTACGTTCATCTTCATAATTTATGCAATCCAGGAAACCATTGCAGAGGGACGAATTGGTGATACAGAAACCATTGCCGCAATGGAACTCATCAGGTTTACACAATGCTGAACAAAACCCCACAAAACAAACAAGAATCACATGAAAAAAATTATGTTCAGGGGCACCATGTAATTTTTTTTTTTAAATGCAATCCTAGACATGCACATTTGTGTCCAATTTAACCTTATTTTAAATTTTCATTTGCCATTTGTAAGAACATTTTGGTGTTTTTTTTTTTGTTAATGCGATTTGGATATTCATTAGCAAAAGTGATGTTATTTCAGGCAGAAACTTCAATGTTACAGCTATTTCAGATTTGCCACAATTTTGGATATTTTGCTGTCATATTTTTTTCTTTGCCGCTTGATTGTTTTTGTTTCAGTGACATGACATATGGGCAAAGTTATCAAACAAATGCTTGGTTCACAATATTTTCTCAGAAGACCCTTAAACTGAACAGCGGCTTCCTGAAAATGAAATCACAGCAACAGCGCCATATGGTTCAATACTTTGAATTTAACATATGTATTAATTTAATTCTTATGGGAAAATGAAAACTAAGGAACCTAAATCAGAGACAGATGAGGGGTTTTTCAAAAACTTCCTTTCAATGGAGAAATCTCTCAAGGCTGCACTCTGAGAAAGGCTTTGATACTTGGTACGGGTACAAGATTTATGATGATGGACTCATTGCAATCTTCCATATAATGTACAAAAAGAGTGATATTGAATATGGGTACCAGAAGTATGGTAATGAGTTATTGCAATGGAGAATCCCCACCAGCCTAAGGTTACAGACCAGTTAATGAACTTCCATCATAAATAGACCCCAATGGTAAATGCTTCCACTTCAGAAAATCGGGGGAAAAATACTCACAACTCTCCAAGATGTTCGAGACACACATCAAATTAGAGCATATTTCATCATCTTTCATTTTCTTTTCAATTTTCGGGGGGTGAACGGAAATTTTCATCCGAAGATGATCACCCCTGAAAATAGTCCTGAAGCCCATCGCCATGTTGAAAAACGATGCCTATACTCCATTGCAAAATAGAGCGCTTTAAGGGTCCCAATTTCATCCAAATTGAACGGAACTACAAGTTCACAGTCCTGTGCATGGCTTCCGCCATTATTTTTTTACAAGCCCTCAAGCTCATGGCCCACAGCATGCTCAAATACTGAAGATTTTGAGGGCATGCAAATTGTGATTTGGCCGGCGTAGGCAATTTCGGACCGATTTACTGGTCTGCAACCCTAAAAACTGACAGTGGCATTTACACTAGGTACCAGACTTACCCTCCAAATCCTCTTCTTTAATGTGATTTATCAGAATGGAGAACCCGCGACGTGCGATGGTTAGATCCGTCTTCATTTCCAACTTGAGAACTCCGTCATCATGACGCCACGTCACCGTCCGCCTCGAGATATCCGCCCCCGTAAGACGGAAGAGCTCTTTGGGATCCTCCCCATTCGCAAGAAAAACGACCTCCAAATAATCGTACGTTTCCTCCATTTCGAAATCCTTGATCCGCATAGTGACTAGTTGCTTCGACTGACCTTTAATGTACCAGATGCAGTCGCGGTTATTCGGGTACCGGTTTGGGTAGCGCGGTGAATTGAGGTTAATGATATCTTTGTATACCGAGATGTTATGCGGTCCACATTCATCTGTTTTAAGGTAAGAAAAAACATAATGGTACAGTTCAGAACTAAATGAATTGCTCAAGTACGGACGGGTGGAAAGCTAGAACAGCAGATTGGTACGAGTAGTGTGGATGCAGCGCAGTACTGTACTGTGGGTGCTGTGGTCAAATGGTTACGGTGTTCGACTCGTGTGCCGTGGTACGTGGGTTCGAATCTTGACCGTTGAACATGGTGCTTGTGCTCCTGAGCAAGGCACTTTACCATTATTGCTTCGTCCTTCGGATGGGACAGAAGGTCCCGTGTGCTGTGCAATGCACGTGAAAGAACCCAGTAGATACGTATCGCTTAGAGAAGGGGTTAGCCCCAGTTTTTCTGGCATTGGCTGCAATATGCGCCGCAGCACCTTGTAAACCAAGGTGCTACATAATGGGTCTCATATTTCTCATAAACTTCATTTACCTGTCTTTAATAATAGACATAATTTCCAGCGCCTTGAGTACCTTATTGTTGGTAGGTACGTGCGCTATATAAGACTCCGGTAATATTACTCATTTGCCGAAGATCACAAGTGGAACATCACACATTGGTCGCAAGCAAATCACACGCCAATTAATTCACAAGTAACAGGGGATATGAAAAATAACAAAGGAATGCCTTTAATTGTTACTATTCATTGGTATAACTTTTAAGTTGACTAGGGACTGGATGGCATCTTTTCTGTTTTTTTTTTATACATACAAGTAACACAGCAGATGATGCAGCACGGGACTCTTAAATGATTTATGATCATTTGCTTTACATGCATTTTGTTAATTTTCAATAATAACACCACCCAAACTCCAAAGTAGAAGGTTCAAAACGTAACCGCTTGAAGTCTCAGCTCAGTGGATATAATACTTTTTGAAAAAAACAGTGAAACAACCATGCACAACCTTTTGATCACGAAACACGATATCGTCAATTGAGCGTTTTGTTCAAAATTTTGTCAACTCACAATTGTTGGAAATCGCTTTATATATACAGTACTTGATTTCTTCTAAATAACAGCAAGCTGGATGGAATTTCACGGGGTGTTACGTACCAGTGTAAGTTAGCTTTTGGTTAATACTTTTATATTTTTGAGATAAATGCAAATGATCCTGCCTGCTCTTAACCAGACATCAGTTGCAAAACGATTAATGTGCTTATGTGCTTACCACAAAGAGATTCATCTGATCCATCTGGGCACAGTGCAAAGCCATCACATTTGGCGTTATGTGCCAAACAAATCAAGCCAGATGAGTTATCCTTGCATTCAAATTCATTTTCTCTGCAAGAAACTGCAGCAACAAAGCAAAGAGAATTACAAAATGTTAAGTTCTGTAGTCGATTCTCCAAACTTTACATACCAACAGCAACGCATTAAGCACTACTTTTCCGCAACTATGCATGCGGAAAAGTAGGGAAACGTACGAATACTTGAAAGCCTGCCCAAATACCCATTGCATCATCAATCAAAGTTGCAACTCACCTTCCGATCTTTCTTGTGTGATTGTTACCTGGAATCCGACGCGGGTTATTGAAGAATCGCTTGTAAACTTCATCCAGGCTATGTGGTTGTTGGAGAAAACCGCTAGACTCGTCAGGGAACTGCTAAAACTACCAATGACGGAGTCAGTACTGGAGGGCGCGTGGCCGTTGCCAATGGTAAACCATGTCGTAGGTTTTCTCGGTATTAAACCCGGAGAATCGGAAGGCTATCGCGGAGCCTACATCGGCCGTGATGAGCCAAATGCACAGTGCATTGTTGGGATAGTCATTTGGGTAGTACACTGAAGTCAGTGTTGCTGAAGTCTGCGTTGAGTCGAGGATGGTGCTGCCTTCTCCGCATGGAACTGTGAAAGATAAGTGGACGAAAACATCGGGAAAAGAGTGGACGAAAACATTGGGAAAAGGATCCAAGTTTCTGGTAAAAACCAAACAAATAAGTTATGACTGTGCCACGAAATGTGCAGGATTGCAGAGTTGAATATCGGTTTAACAAACATTGCTACACTAAACATTCTGTTATATGCCCCGTGCACGAACAGCATATGGTGGCAATGCATTCGAGTCCCTCTCAGAGGTCTCCCGCAACTGTCCCTTTGTTACCGTTGAGGGGGTACGTACTTGTGCACAGAATCTATCTGGGGTCTATTATATATGGACGAATAAGGACACGCGTGATCACTTTTCACACAGGAGGGCCCCTTCCATGGAGAAACCATTGTGCAAGTTATACAGTACAGCAACTGCCCTGTGAAGGATTATCTTAACAATAGCTTGCACAATGCTTTTGCCATTACATGGGGCCTTCGTGGTATTTTGTTGGCATGCCTGGATTGGTACATAGGTACTTACAGCAGTTCATCTCATCCCACAGATCTAGACAGCCAGGTATGGCATTGCATTCGTACAGGGACCCAATGCAACCACCTTCTGGACACCGGAACTGATGTTCATAGCATGACCCTGCCAAGGGACACAAATCAGTGTAAGCCCCTCGATTCAAGTACGAGTACAGATCCGTCATTCATACGAACTGCGCCATTAGTTTAGTGGGAAGAAGGGGTTATCGTGCACCCTTGGAAATCAATTTCTCATTGACGTCTCTAGATCAGAAAATATGCGTAGAAAACGATTTGCTATGTTAAAAATTCTAAACAATACCTGTGTTGGTTTTATGCAAATTAGTGCCGCCATAAAAATCTATTGTTTACTATATCTCAGCCAATATTGCAGATAACTGAACGAAAAAGGTGTTTAAACCCATGTTTTCAGGGTCAAAGATCACAATAAAACTATTCTGGAAGTGGCAATATGTATCTGTGGCATAGGAATATGCAAATTTGTGTCGCTGGCACCGGAAAACCATGTTTTTGGCATATCTCGGCCAATATTGCACATCACTACACAAGTAAGGTGTCTAAACCCATGTTTTGAGGGTCAAATATCATTCTAAGACCATTCCCGTAGTAACTATAATGTGTCATGTGTGTCCTTGGCATACGGTATCCCGCCTTCTTCCTACCCAACTACATGGGTAACACATGCACATCAAAAATGCTGCACTGCATGTTCAAGCCATATGCGTCATATACGCACGTGCACACTTGTTCGAATTTGTACACGCATGTCGGATATAATAAAGGGTTTAATTGATTGGTCAAACCACCAGGGGTTGGGGCCTAATTGATTGTTTGATTATATGTTGAATCTGGGTCTGAGTCCTGAGTCACTTGTTGGAGTCTCAAGTCACTTTAATCGAGTCCGAGTCCAGTACATAATCTAAAAACAACCAGTGAGCCAATAGTGAAGATTGAAGATACTAACCACAGCCAAACTCATCCCCTTTCATCGGGCACTGTGGGTAACCATCGCAAACTTGATTCCGTGGTATGCAGGCAAGGCCGGATGGGCAAGCAAATTCAGCATCGTTACATTCTGAAGAAAAAAAACCAACAACCACAAAGCAACGAAATTAAAAGTATTTATTCCGGCAACTGTCAGAACAAATAAATTTACTACATGTACAGGTAGAAGCACACAAGCCTCTCTAGCTCTCCACCCAGGAGTATAAATGGGTAATGGCATTAGCTTGGGAGTAATTTGCATTAGACTTGCATCCCATCTATAGGGGATAGAAATATGCCCAATCATTTCCTGTCAAACTTGAGATAAATGCTACCTTGATAGGTCCAGTTTCTATTCATATCCGGAACGAGCTCCGGACAAGTTGCGGACATTGTATCGGGTATAAATCTTCCCGCAGTGAAGTTATCAGACTTGGTGAGTGAAGCAGTTACTAATGAAAATTTCCCCGGAACATGTTCAGGGAAAAATGCAGAGCTTTTTTTCCGGACGAAGTGAATTTTTCTGCCAGCAACTTGTCCGGAACCCGTCCTGAATATGAACTGAGACGGGTGCATACCTTTTTTCCCCCGTATGTTCCCCAACCCCAACCCTAACCCTAACCTACAGATTTTGGAGAACATAGGTATTGGGGAACATAGGTATTGGGGAACATCGGGTAAACCCCATTGAGACGACCCTTAATAGCCATATTGGTTTCGGCCAGACTCTACTTTTACTTTATATTTACAGAGCAAATCTTCGAGTCATCGAACTTACCTACTGGCCTTAGTTCCTCGATTTCCAAGCTCACACGATTGGCAGACGTCATGCTAGTAGAAATGACCAGCGCTATCCACAGATTGTTAGTCTCTGAAATTATATGCAGCTTGGTATACGTGCCATGCCTGCTCACCGCCTCGATGTTCGAAAACTGCACTTCCCCGTGACCGAACAATAAAGCACTGTTTTGCGATAACATGTAGTCCCTGAAGGTGATCTTAACGCGATACCCCTTCGATGCGGTGACGAACCACACGCAATGTCGGCCCAACGGAAAGTTGACGTCGTCCGGCTCGTAGTTCATTTGAAGAACGAAAGAGTGGCCGTTGGTCACATTGATGGTGGAGATTCCACCGCAGTGCTCTATTTTTGACAACATTAAACAGAAACAAAAAGTTTTTTTTTTGAAATATAGTTTTCAGAATAAAGGGAAGACAGGTAGGGTAAAAAACAAAATGTTTCACTTTGTTCTCTTTTGGGTAAAAAAAGAAGAAGAAGGCAATTTGTGTTACTTGTATATGCCTTATACCTATGTCTCCAATAATTCACAATTATTAGCCCTGCTTATCAGGCCACATGAGACCATTTCTGCAGCAGCTTGAGATCAGTGCAATCTGGTCTCTACCCCTGTAGATGTCCATTTATACTTTTGTGTGAATCAGTGGAGGTAAATTGTCTTGCCCAAGAACACCAACCCCGTCAGGGTTCAAACTCACGTGTATCCACATAGCAAATCCAAGTCAAGACATGAGTTTGAAACTCACCGCAGCCAGTTTCATCAGTGTTGTCGTCGCACGAAAGCACCCCGTCACAATGTTTGGAAGCATCTATACAAAGTCCCGACACGGAGCACTGAAATTGATCTTTTCTGCAAGGACCTAAACAGAACAGAAACAAACAACCCAACAAAGGGACAAACAAATGGATAAAGAAAAAACGAAAGAAGGTGCACGCCGTTTTCAGACAGGTATATTCTAGAGTCGACCCGAACTAAAAAGATATTTTGGAGTGCCTAGGTCAACCAAAACATATTTTGGTTTCAAATAGCTGAACTTTACAATGCACAAACTGGAGTGTTAAATTTACACCATTGGTCTTTATATAGGACCATCTGGTGTTAAATTTACTGGTGTTGTCCTATATAGATACCGAATGGTGTCAAATTAATACTACAGTTTTTGCAGTGTATGTTTCTATATGATAAGACTTTATCATGCACAGAGGGCCTTTGAACCTCAAGTCGCTTGAAGTCTCTCCCAGTTACAAACCTGACTTGTGGAATAAAAATACCACTTGAATAATCCAAAGAAGAATGTTCAAAACCTAACCAGTTAAAATTCCAGCTCAGTGTTTAACAAATGTATGTATACCATTCGAAAAAAAGATAGTGACAAACCATGCAAAACCTTTTGATCACGAAACACGACTTAATGTTACTCTTTATTTCGAATGATCATTTAATTGACTGATCATTGGAAATCACCTACATTTTTTGTTTTCTTCTAAAATGAAGCAAGCCAGACGGAATAGTTTCCCCGGTTGTTTAGTACCAGTACAATCTTTATTCCAAGTAAGTTTTTATTAATAATAGTTCGTATGCTACTTTTTGGATAATTGTCAATGATCCTGTATGAAGTCAGTTATGAAATTGTTAATGAATCTGATTTCTTCGTACCGCAGTTCGATTCATCTAATTCATCTGGACACAGAAGAAAGCCGTCACAGGTGTCGTCACGTGTCAAACAAATCAAGCCAGATGAGGCATCCTCGCATACAGATTCATCTTGTCCGCAAGAAACTGCAGCCAGGAACAAAATAAATCACATGTAACGTTCTGCAGTCTGCTCTCCAAAACTATACACAATAGCAGTTACCTATTTTCATCACATTTCGCAAACACTTTCGCGTTGCATCTGCAACTTACGCAACATAATTTTGGCTTTGACTTTGTCAATTTGTGTAGTCGAAGTAACAGTGTACAGGGTGAGTAAAAAAATGCCCCTTTGGATTTAGTTGTTTTCTCCCACGAAAACGGGAAAAGGTTATCAGTGTTTTCTTTTCAGCCAATTAACATTCGGTCTGGGTAATGACCACAGTCAGTAACTTGTTAACAAAAGCAGGGCACTCTTTACAAGGGCGGGGGGGGGGGGGGTAATCGCTGGTGAAAAAGGGCATTAGAATGGAAACGGGCAGTCTTTACAAAAATGGGGGGGGGGGGGTGCGGAGGAAATACCCCCTTACCCCCGCTGGCAATGCCTAAGCTGATTGGAAGTTCGGAACATTAACAGTTTTTAATGACAAGCCAGACCTGAAACGAAACTGCGCTTGCGAAAGGGGCATCATGTGTTTTAGCCTTGGCTGCTGGACCTTATATTCATCAGAAATTGCACATCGCCAGGCAAATATAATGCGATGTGCAAATAACTGGAATCATACCTTATCGGAGTGTTGAGATAGTGTGACTGCCTCAGCAAATATTCATGGCGTCATGACACGAGAAAAAGAAACTACACGGTAATAAACGATTATGATTGAAATTGGGAACAGCTAATAACTGACGTGCACTTTCCATAAAAAAGTCAGCTGCACGCAACTTCAGGAGTCATTACATTACCCATGCTACTTACCTTCAGATCTTTCTTGTGTAATCGTTACGTTAAATCCGATCTTGGTTACTGAACCATCGCTCGCAAAATCCATCCAGGCTGTATGGTTACTGGAAAAGATGGCGAGACTCGTCAGGAAACCGTTAAAACGACCAATAATGGATTCACCATCGAGAGGTGCATGGCCGTTGCCGATGGACACAATGTCGTAGGTGTGCTCGGTTTTGAACACGGAGAAACGGAAGGCTATCGTGGAGCCTTCATCAACTGTGATGAACCAAATGCACCGGGCATTGGTGGGATAGTTGTTTGGGTAATAAGGCGAAGTCAGTGTTTCTGAAGTCTGCGTTGAGTTGTTGAGAGTGATGTTTCTTTTCCCACAAAAACCTGTACAAGAAAAATAAAATCATCATTGTCCAAGTTGTTTGAAATAATATTTAAATCTTTGAACAGTATACCAATTTTCATGAAATCATTCGTAATAATATATATTGCGCATGTAATTTGTTGTGTAAATCTGCGGTGAGCGACATAAGTTACATGTATGTACTGTTCCGTAAAATCGGCTGCACAACAACTTCAGGAGACATTACATTATCTTTTCAAGTTGCTACTTACCTTCAGGTCTTTCTTGAGTGATCTTTACCTCGAATCCGACCTCGGTTACCGAATAATCGCTGGTAAACTTCATCCATGCCGTGTGGTTATTGGAAACGACGGCTAGATTCGTCAGGGAACTGCTAAAATGACCAATAACGGAGTAACCATCGGAGAACTCATGGCCGTTGCCAATGGTCAACGTGTCGTGTGTTTGCTCCGTGTTGAACACGGAGAAACGGAAGGCTATCGTGGAGCCTTCATCAACTGTGATGAACCAAATGCACCGGGCATTGTTGGGATAGTTGTTTGGGTAATAAGGCGAAGTCAGTGTTTCTGAAGTCTGTGTTGAGTTGCTGAGAGTGATGTTTCTTTTGCCGCAATAACCTGTAGAAGATGAATAAAACTGTTAATGAAAAATCACTAAAAGGACTAAGGTTTCTTGTAAAACCGATCCATAACTCTAATTTCAGTAATGCAAGTGGTTTTGCCCTAGGGACAGAAAAAAATGAATTAATTTATTCAGAATTAGCACAATCTCGAAGTATAAACTGTTTCGTGACCGATGTCTTCAAAGTAACGATCATCCTTGTCCAAGATGTTGAAATAATATTTAAATCATTGAACAGCATACCAATTTTCTGGAATCATTCGTAATTATATATTACGCAAATGTAATTAGTTGTGTAAATCTGCGGTGAGCAACATAAGTTACATGTATGCACTGTTCCGTAAAATCAGCTGCACAACTTCAGGAGACATTCCATTATCTTTTGAAGTTGCTACTTACCTTCAGATCTTTCTTGAGTAATGTTTACCTCGAATCCGATCTCGGTTACCGAAGAATCGCTAGTAAACTTCATCCATGCCGTGTGGTTATTGGAAACGACGGCTAGACTTGGCAGGGAACTGCTCAAAAGACCAATTACGGAGTCAACATCGGACGAATCGTAGCCGTTGCCAATGGTCAACGCGTCGTATGTTAGCTCCGTATTGAACACGGAGAAACGGAAGGCTATCGTGGAGCCTTTATCAACTGTGATGAACCAAATGCACCGGGCATTGTTGGGATAGTTGTTTGGGTAATAAGGCGAAGTCAGTGTTTCTGAAGTCTGTGTTGAGTTGCTGAGAGTGATGATTCTTTTGCCGCAATAACCTGTAGAAGATGAATAAAACTGTTAATGAAAAATCACAAAAAGGACTAAGGTTTCTTGTAAAACCGAACCATAACTCTAATTTCAGGAATGCCAGTGGTTTTGCCCTAGGGACAGAAAAAATGAATTAATTTATTCAGAATTAGCACAATCTCGAAGTATAAACTGCTATGTGACCAATGTCTTAAAAAGCAACGATCATCCTTGTCCAAGATGTTGAACGTTGAACAGCATTATAATTTTCATGAAATCATTCGTAATTACATATTACGCAAAGGTAATTAGTTGTGTAAATCTGCGGTGAGCGACATAAGTTACATTTATGCACTCTTCCGTAAAATCAGCTGCACAACAATTTCAGGAGACAATACATTATCTTTTCAAGTTGCTACTTACCTTCATAGCTTTCTTGAGTGATCTTTACCTTGAATCCGATTTTGGTTACCCAAGAATTGCTGGTAAACTTCATCCATGCCGCGTGGTTATTGGAAACGGCGGCTAGACTCGTCAGGACACCGCTAAAAAGACCAATAACAGAGTCACCATCGGAGGACTCGTGGCCGTTGCCAATAGTCAAGGTGTCCCATGTTCGCTCCGTATTGAACATGGAGAAACGGAAGGCAATTGTGGAGCCTTCATCAACTGTGATGAACCAAATGCACTGGGCATCGTTGGGATAGTTTTTTGGGTAATAAGGCGAAGTTAGTGTTTCTGAAGTCTGTGTTGAGTTGCCGAGAGTGATGTTGCTTTTTCCGCATGGAACTGCAGAAGAAAATAGAACAGTTAGGCCTAATGAAAAATCAGAAAAATACTCGGTTTCTTGTAAAACCAAACAATACGTTTAATTTCAGGAATGCCAGTGGTTTTGCTCAAGGGACAGAAAAAGACAAAATTTAATCAGAATGTACACAAGCCCGAAGTATACAACATTGTCTTTCGATAACATGGATCCAACGTTATTCTGATGCGGTATCCAGCCTGCGACTAGGCGGTGATATACTGTACGCTGCTGAACAGAACGTTGATGTCTGGTTCGTAGCTACCTCGAAAGTTTGAACATGATTTGAAGAACGAAAGATTGGCAAAGATTCAAGATTCCACAAAAGCATGCTTTTTTGAAATAGAAAATGTGTTAATTTTTGAAAGAGAGGGTAACTTAGATTTAGCTAGGGTTACATGTTTTACATTGTGATACTTAAAAACTAAAGTGATGATAACAATAATGTGATGCTTGAATAACTCTTAATGTCATCTGTTTCACAGATGGCAGGGGAATAAAAACGAATTACATAGGCTATGTCGAGCAAGTGTTAGCTTCTTGATAATAGTTCGGCATGCTACTTTTGGGATAAATTGGAAAGATCACATATGCCTTTAAGTTTGACAGAGTTTAAGTCAGTTGCAATGATGCCTCATGAATCCAAAATATGCTTACGGCAGTTAGATTCATCCGATCCATCTGGGCACAGTGTAAAGCCATCACCATCACAGGTGTCGTCACGTGCCAAACAAATCAAGCCAGAGGATTCATCCTGGCATGCAAATTCATCCTGTCCACAAGAACCTGCATGCAGCAAAGAGCAGAATAAATAACAGGTAACGTTTGCAATCGATTCTCCAAACTTTGCATAAGACAGCAACTTATCAAGCAACATATTGTGCATTTCATTTACGTCACATTTTGCAAACTCGTGTGCGTTGTATAAGTTTGGAATTTGCACAACAAATTATGACTTTGGAATATGGACAATTAAAAAAACCTATTTACGCCTATTAGTCTGTATAGAGTCTAAATTCATTGGTCACTGCCAACTTGTTAATGTGACGTTAGAAAATTAACGGCTTAAACGTACACGAGTAAGTATTATTTTATCCTTGACAGAAATTTGAGTGTGGCCACCTGCTTCTGAAGAAGCCACAATTTTTTGTTACAAAAATGGCAGGCAAAGCTGATTTTAACAACTGCTTCGTGAAGATGTCTTAAAAGCAACGATCATCCTTGTCCAAGATGTTTGAAATAATATTTAAAACGTTGAACAGCCTACCAATTTTCGTGAAATCATTCGTAATTATATATTACGCAATTGTAATTAGTTGTGTAAATCTGCGGTGAGCGACATAAGTTTAATGTATGCACTGTTCCGTAAAATCAGCTGCACAACAACTTCAGGAGACATTACATTATCTTTTCAAGTTGCTACTTACCTTCAGGTCTTTCTTGTGTGATCTTTACCTCGAATCCTATCTCGGTTACCGAAAAGTCGCTGGTAAACTCCATCCATGCCGTGTGGTTATTGGAAATGACAGCTAGACTCGTCAGGAAACTGCTAAAAAGACCAATAACCGAGTTATCATCGAAGGACTCGTGGCCGTTGCCAATGGTCAATTTGTCCCATGTTCGCTCCGTATTGAACACAGAGAAACGGAAGGCTATCGTGGAGCCTTCATCAACTGTGATGAACCAAATGCACCGGGCATTGTTGGGATAGTTGTTTGGGTAATAAGGCGAAGTCAGTGTTTCTGAAGTCTGTGTTGAGTTGCTAAGAGTGATGTTTCTTTTTCCGCAAAAACCTGTAGAAGATAAATAAAACTGTCAATGAAAAATCACAAAAAGGATTAAGGTTTCTTGTAAAACCAATCATCAATTTAATTTCAGGAATGCCAGTGACTTTGCTCTAGGGACAGAAAAAGAATAAATTAATTAATTCAAAATTAGCACAATCTCGAAGTATTTCGTGAAGTCTCGAAGTATAAACTGTTTTGTGACCGATGTCTTAAAAGCAACGATTATCCTTGCCCCAGATGTTTTACAATATTGAAAACATGGCACAGCGTACCAATTTTCATGAAATCATTCGTAATGATATATTACGCAAATGTAATTAGTTGTGTAAATCTGCGGCCAGCAACTGAGTAACATAAAATCAGCTGCACAACAACTTCAGGAAAAATTCCATTATCTTTTCAAGTTGCTACTTACCTTCATAGCTTTCTTGAGTGATCTTTACCACGAATCCTATCTTGGTTACCATAGAATTGCTGGTAAACTTCATCCATGCCGCGTGGTTATTGGAAACGACGGATAGATTCGTCAGGAAACCGCTCCAAAAACCTATAACAGAGTCACCATCGGAGGACTCGTGGCCGTTGCCAATGGTCAACGTGTCATGTGTTCGCTCCGTATTGAACACGGAGAAACGGAAGGCTATCATGGAGCCTTCATCAACTGTGATGAACCAAATGCACCGGGCATTGTTGGGATAGTTGTTTGGGTAATAAGGCGAAGCCAGTGTTTCTAAAGTCTGTGTTGAGTTGTTAAGAGTGATGTTTCTTTTTCCGCAAAAACCTGTAGAAGATAAATAAATCTGTCAATGAAAAATCACAAGAAGGATTAAGGTTTCTTGTAAAATCAAACCATCAATTTAATTTCAGGAATGCCAGTGGCTTTGCTCTAGATACAGAAAAAGAATAAATTAATTAATTCAAAATAAGCACAATCTCGAAGTATTTCGTGAAGTCTCGAAGTATAAACTGTTTTGTGACCGATTTCTTAAAGCAACGATCATCCTTGCCCAAGATGTTAGAAATATTGAAAACATTGAACAGCATACCAATTTTCATGAAATCATTCGTAATGATAAATTACGCATATGTAATTAGTTGTGTAAATCTGCGGCGAGCAACATAAGTTACAGGTATGCACTCTTCCGTAAAATCAGCTGCACACCAACTTCAGGAGACATTACATTATCTTTTCAAGTTGCTACTTACTTTCATAGCTTTCTTGAGTGATCTTTACCTCGAATCCTATCTTGGTTACCACAGAATCGCTGGTAAACTTCATCCATGCCGCGTGGTTATTGGAAACGACGGATAGATTCGTCAGGAAACCGCTCCAAAGACCAATACCAGAGTCACCATCGGAGGACTCGTGGCCGTTGCCAATGGTCAATTTGTCCCATGTTCGCTCCGTATTGAACACGGAGAAACGGAAGGCTATCGTGGAGCCTTCATCAACTGTGATGAACCAAATGCACCGGGCATTGTTGGGATAGTTGTTTGGGTAATAAGGCGAAGTCAGTGTTTCTGAAGTCTGCGTTGAGTTGTTAAGAGTGATGTTTCTTTTTCCGCAAAAACCTGTAGAAGATAAATAAAACTGTCAATGAAAAATCACAAAAAAGATTAATGTTTCTTGTAAAACCAAACGATATATTTAATTTCAGGAATGCCAGTGACTTTGCTCTAGGGACAGAAAAAGAATATATTAATTAATTCAAAATTAGCACAATCTCGAAGTATTTCGTGAAGTCTCGAAGTATAAACTGTTTTGTGACCGATGTCTTAAAAGCAACGATCATCCTTGCCCAAGATGTTAGAAATATTGAAAACATTGAACAGCATACCAATTTTCATGAAATCATTCGTAATGATATATTACGCAAATGTAATTAATTGTGTAAATCTGCGGCGAGCAACATAAGTTACATGTATGCACTGTTCCGTAAAATCAGCTGCACAACAACTTCAGGAGACATTCCATTATCTTTTCAAGTTGCTACTTACCTTCATAGCTTTCTTGAGTGATCTTTACCTCGAATCCTATCTTGGTTACCACAGAATCGCTGGTAAACTCCATCCATGCCGCGTGGTTATTGGAAACGACGGATAGATTCGTCAGGAAACCGCTCCAAAGACCAATAACAGAGTCACCATCGGAATACTCGTGGCCGTTGCCAATGCTCAACGTGTCGTATGTTCGCTCCATATTGAACAAGGAGAAACGGAAGGCTATCCTGGAGCCTTCATCAACTGTGATGAACCAAATGCACCGGGCATTGTTGGGATAGTTGTTTGGGTAATAAGGCGAAGTCAGTGTTTCTGAAGTCTGTGTTGAGTTGTTAAGAGTGATGTTTCTTTTTCCGCAAAAACCTGTAGAAGATAAAAAAATCTGTCAATGAAAAATCACAAAAAGGATTAAGGTTTCTTGTAAAACCAAACCATAAATTTAACTTCAGGAATGCCAGTGGCTTTGGTCTAGGTACAGAAAAAGAATAAATTAATTAATTCAAAATTAGCACAATCTCGAAGTATTTCGTGAAGTCTCGAAGTATAAACTGTTTTGTGACCGATGTCCTAAAAGCAACAATCATCCTTGCCCAAGATGTTTGAAATTTGAAAACATTGAACAGCATACCAATTTTCATGAAATCATTCGTAATGATATATTACGCAAATTAGTTGTGCAAATCTGCGGCGAGCAACATAAGTTACATGTATGCACTCTTCCGTAAAATCAGCTGCACACCAACTTCAGGAGACATTCCATTATCTTTTCGAGTTGTTAATTACCTTCATAGCTTTCTTGAATGATCTTTACCACGAATCCTATCTTGGTTACCACAGAATCGCTGGTAAACTTCATCCATGCCGCGTGGTTATTGGAAACGACGGATAGATTCGTCAGGAAACCGCTCCAAAGACCAATACCAGAGTCACCATCGGAGGACTCGTGGCCGTTGCCAATGCTCAACGTGTCGTATGTTCGCTCCGTATTGAACACGGAGAAACGGAAGGCTATCGTGGAGCCTTCATCAACTGTGATGAACCAAATGCACCGGGCATTGTTGGGATAGTTGTTTGGGTAATAAGGCGAAGTCAGTGTTTCTGAAGTCTGTGTTGAGTTGCTAAGAGTGATGTTTCTTTTTCCGCAAAAACCTGTAGAAGATAAATAAAACTGTCAATGAAAAATTACAAAAAGGATTAAGGTTTCTTGTAAAACCAAACCATCAATTTAATTTCAGGAATGCCAGTGGCTTTGCTCTAGGGACAGAAAAAGAATAAATTAATTAATTCAAAATTAGCACATTCTCGAGTATTTCGTGAAGTCTCGAAGTATAAACTGTTTTGTGACCGATGTCTTAAAAGCAACGATCATCCTTGCCCAAGATGTTTGAAATATTGAAAACATTAGACAGCATACCAATTTTCATGAAATCATTCGTAATGATATATTACGCTAATGAATTAGTTGTGTAAATCTGCGGCGAGCAACATCAGTTACATGTATGCACTGTTCCGTATAATCAGCTGCACAACAACTTCAGGAGACATTCCATTATCTTTTCAAGTTGCTACTTACCTTCATAGCTTTCTTGAGTGATCTTTACCTCGAATCCTATCTTGGTTACCACAGAATCGCTGGTAAACTTCATCCATGCCGCGTGGTTATTGGAAACGACGGATAGATTCGTCAGGAAACCGCTCCAAAGACCAATACCAGAGTCACCATCGGATGACTCGTGGCCGTTGCCAATGGTCAACGTGTCGTATGTTTGCTCCGTATTGAACACGGAGAAACGGAAGGCAATTGTGGAGCCTTCATCAACTGTGATGAACCAAATGCACTGGGCATCGTTGGGATAGTTGTTTGGGTAATAAGGCGAAGTCAGTGTTTCTGAAGTCTGTGTTGAGTTGCTGAGGGTGATGTTGCTTTTTCCACATGGAACTGTGGAAGAAAATACAACAGTTAATAAAAAATCAGAAAAAATACTAGGTTTCTTGTAAAAACCAAACAATAAGTTTGATTTCAGGAAGGCCAGTTGTTTTGCTCTAGGGACAGAAAAAAAGAATAAATTAATTGATTCAGAATGTGCACAAGCCTGAAGTATTAAACATTGTCTTTGGATAACATGGATCCAACGTTATTCTGATGCGGTATCCGGCCTGCGGTAAGGCGGTGATGTACTGCACGCTGTTGAACGAAAAGTTGATGTCTGGTTCGTAGCTACCTCGTACATTTGAACATGATTTGAAGAACGAAAAATTGGCAAAGATTCAAGATTCCACAATAGCATGCTTTTTTGAAATAGAAAATGTGTTAATTTTTGAAAGAGAGGGTAACTTAGATTTAGCTAGGGTAACATATTTTACATTGTGCTACTTTAAAACTAATGTGATGATAACAATAATGTGATGCTTGAATAACGCTTAATGTCATCCGTTTCAAAGATGGCAGGGGAATAAAAAAGAATTACATAGGCTATTTTCAGCAAGTTTTAGCTTCTTGATAATAGTTCGGCATGCTACTTTTGGGATAAATTGAAAAGATCACATATGCCTTTAAGTTTGACAGAGTTTAAGTCAGTTGCAATGATGCCTCATGAATCCGAAATATGCTTACGGCAGTTAGATTCATCTGATCCATCTGGGCACAGTGTAAAGCCATCACCATCACAGGTGTCGTCACGTGCCAAACAAATCAAGCCAGAGGATTCATCCTGGCATGCAAATTCATCCTGTCCACAAGAACCTGCATGCAGCAAAAAACAGAATAAATAACAGGTAACGATCTGCAATCGATTCTCCAAACTTTGCAAAAGACAGCAACTTATCAAGCAACATATTGTGCATTTCATTTACGTCACATTTTGCAAACTCGTGTGCGTTGTATAAGTTTGCAATTTGCACAACAAATAATGACTCTGGAATATGGACAATTAAAAAAACCTATTTACGCCTATTAGTCTGTATAGAGTCTAAATTCATTGGTCACTGCCAACTTGTTAATGTGATGTAAGAAAATTAACGGCTTAAACGACATGAGTAAGTATTATTTTATCATTGAAAGAAATTTGAGTGTGGCCACCTGCTTCCGAAGAAGCCACAATTGTTTTCTCAAAATGGCAAGCATAGCTGATATAACAACTGCTTCGTGGCGATGTCTTTTCCAAGATGTTTGAAATAATATCTCAAACGTTAAACAGCCTACCAATTTTCATGAAATCATTCGCAATTATATATATTACGCAAATGTAATATAGCTGTGTACATCTGCGGTGAGCGACGTAAATTACATGTATGCACTCTTCCGTTAAATCAGCTGCACAACAACTTCAGGAGACATTCCATTATCTTTTCGAGTTTCTACCTACCTTCAGATCTTTCTTGAGTGATCTTTACCTCGAATCCGACCTCGGTTACCAAAGAATCGCTGGTAAACTTCATCCATGCCGTGTGGTTATTGGAAATGACGGCTAGACTCGTCAGGGAACTGCTAAAAAGACCAATAACAGAGTCACCATCGGAGGACTTGTGGCCGTTGCCAATAGTCAACGTGTCGTATGTTCGCTCCGTATTGAACACGGAGAAACGGAAGGCTATCGTGGAGCCTTCATCAACTGTGATAAACCAAATGCACCGGGCATCGTTGGGATAGTTGTTTGGGTAATAAGGCGAAGTCAGTGTTTCTGAAGTCTGTGTTGAGTTGCTCAGAGTGATGTTTCTTTTTCCGCAAAAACCTGTAGAAGATAAATAAAACTCTTAATGAAAAATCACAAAAAGGATTAAGGTTTGATGTAAAACCAAACCATACATTTAATTACAGGAATGCCAGTGACTTTGCTCTAGGGACAGAAAAAGAATAAATAAATTAATTCAAAATTAGCACAATCTCGAAGTATTTCGTGAAGTCTCGAAGTATAAACTGTTTTGTGACCGATGTCTTAAAAGCAACGATCATCCTTGCCCAAGATGTTTGAAATATTGAAAACATTGAACAGCATACCAATTTTCATGAAATCATTCGTAATGATATATTACGCAAATGTAATTAGCGGTGTAAATCTGCGGCGAGCAACATAAGTTACATGTATGCACTGTTCCGTAAATCAGCTGCACACCAACTTCAGGAGACATTCCATTACCTTTTCAAGTTGCTACTTACCTTCATAGCTTTCTTGAGTGATCTTTACCTCGAATCCTATCTTGGTTACCACAGAATCGCTGGTAAACTTCATCCATGCCGCGTGGTTATTGGAAACGACGGATAGACTTGTCAGGAAACCGCTCCAAAGACCAATAACAGAGTCACCATCGGAGGACTCGTGGCCGTTGCCAATGGTCAACGCGTCGTGTGTTTGCTCCGTATTGAACACGGAGAAACTGAAGGCTATCGTGGAGCCTTCATCAACTGTGATGAACCAAATGCACTGGGCATTGTTGGGATAGTTGTTTGGGTAATAAGGCGAAGTCAGTGTTTCTGAAGTCTGTGTTGAGTTGATAAGAGTGATGTTACTTTTTCCGCAAAAACCTGTAGAAGATAAATAAATCTGTCAATGACAAATTACAAAAAGGATTAAGGTTTCTTGTAACCAAACCATAAATTTAATTACAGGAATGCCAGTGGCTTTGCTCTAGGGACAGAAAAAGAATAAATTAATTAATTCAACATTAGCACAATCTCGAAGTATTTCGTGAAGTCTCGAAGTATAAACTGTTTTGTGACCGATGTCTTAAAAGCAACAATCATCCTTGCCCAAGATGTTTGAAATATTGAAAACATTGAACAGCATACCAATTTTCATGAAATCATTCGTAATGATATATTACGCAAATGTAATTAGTTGTGTAAATCTGCGGCGAGCAACATAAGTTACATGTATGTACTGTTCCGTAAAATCAGCTGCACAACAACTTCAGGAGACATTCCATTATCTTTTCAAGTTGCTACTTACCTTCATAGCTTTCTTGAGTGATCTTTACCTCGAATCCTATCTTGGTTACCACAGAATCGCTGGTAAACTTCATCCATGCCGCGTGGTTATTGGAAACGACGGATAGATTCGTCAGGAAACCGCTCCAAAGACCAATAACAGAGTCACCATCGGAGGACTCGTGGCCGTTGCCAATGGTCAACGTGTCGTATGTTTGCTCCGTATTGAACACGGAGAAACGGAAGGCAATTGTGGAGCCTTCATCAACTGTGATGAACCAAATGCACTGGGCATCGTTGGGATAGTTGTTTGGGTAATAAGGCGAAGTCAGTGTTTCAGAAGTCTGTGTTGAGTTGCTGAGGGTGATGTTGCTTTTTCCACATGGAACTGTGGAAGAAAATACAACAGTTAATGAAAAATCAGAAAAAATACTAGGTTTCTTGTAAAAACCAAACAATAAGTTTGATTTCAGGAATGCCAGTTGTTTTTCTCTAGGGACAGAAAAAAGAATAAATTAATTGATTCAGAATGTGTACAAGCCTGAAGTATTAAACATTGTCTTTGGATAACATGGATCCAACGTTATTCTGATGCGGTATCCGGCCTGCGGCAAGGTGGTGATGTACTGTATGCTGCTGAACGGAAAGTTGATGTCTGGTTCGTAGCTACCTCGTACATTTGAACATGATTTGAAGAACGAAAGATTGGCCAAGATTCAAGATTCCACAAAAGCATGCTTTTTTGAAATAGAAAATGTGTTAATTTTTGAAAGAGAGGGTAACTTAGATTTAGCTAGGGTAACATATTTTACATGTGATACTTTAAAACTAATGTGATGATAACAATAATGTGATGCTTGAATAACGCTTAATGTCATCTGTTTCAAAGATGGCAGGGGAATAAAAAAGAATTACATAGGCTATTTTCAGCAAGTTTTAGCTTCTTGATAATAGTTCGGCATGCTACTTTTGGGGTAAATTGAAAAGATCACATATGTCTTTAAGTTTGACAGAGTTTAAGTCAGTTGCAATGATGCCTCATGAATCCGAAATATGCTTACGGCAGTTAGATTCATCTGATCCATCTGGGCACAGTGTAAAGCCATCACCATCACAGGTGTCGTCACGTGCCAAACAAATCAAGCCAGAGGATTCATCCTGGCATGCAAATTCATCCTGTCCACAAGAACCTGCATGCAGCAAAGAGCAGAATAAATAACAGGTAACGATCTGCAATCGATTCTCCAAACTTTGCAAAAGACAGCAACTTCTCAAGCAACATATTGTGCATTTTATTTACGTCACATTTTGCAAACTCGTGTGCGTTGTTTAAGTTTGCAATTTGCACAACAAATTATGACTTTGGAATATGGACAATTTAAAAAAAACCTATTTACGCCTATAAGTCTGTATAGAGTCTCAATTCATTGGTCACTGCCAACTTGTTAATGTGACGTAAGAAAATTAACGGCTTAAACGACATGAGTAAGTATTATTTTATCATTGACAGAAATTTGAGTGTGGCCACCTGCTTCCGAAGAAGCCACAATTTTTTTTTGAAAATGGCAAGCATAGCTGATTTAACAACTGCTTCGTGACGATGTCTTTTCCAAGATGTTAGAAATTATTTAAAACGTTAAACAGCCTACCAATTTTCATGAAATCATTCGCAACTATATATATTACGCAAATGTATAACTTATATCGCTCACCGCAGATTTATACAGCTATATACATGTATGCACTGTTCCGTAAAATCAGCTGCACAACAACTTCAGGAGACATTACATTATCTTTTCAAGTTTCTACTTACCTTCAGATCTTTCTTGAGTGATCTTTACCTCGAATCCGACCTCAGTTACCAAAGAATCGCTGGTAAACTCCATCCATGCCGTGTGGTTATTGGAAATGACGGCTAGACTCGTCATGGAACTGCTAAAAAGACCAATAACAGAGTCACCATCGGAGGACTCGTGGCCGTTGCCAATAGTCAACGTGTCGTATGTTTGCTCCGTATTGAACACGGAGAAACGGAAGGCTATCTTGGAGCCTTCATCAACTGTGATGAACCAAATGCACCGGGCATTGTTGGGATAGTTGTTTGGGTAATAAGGCGAAGTCAGTGTTTCTGAAGTCTGTGTTGAGTTGCTAAGAGTGATGTTACTTTTTCCGCAAAAACCTGTAGAAGATAAATAAAACTGTCAATGAAAAATTACAAAAAGGATTAAGGTTTCTTGTAAAACCAAACCATAAATTTAATTACAGGAATGCCAGTGGCTTTGCTCTAGGGACAGAAAAAGAATAAATTAATTAATTCAACATTAGCACAATCTCGAAGTATTTCGTGAAGTCTCGAAGTATAAACTGTTTTGTGACCGATGTCTTAAAAGCAACGATCATCCTGGCCCAAGATGTTTGAAATATTGAAAACATTGAACAGCATACCAATTTTCATGAAATCATTCGTAATGATATATTACGCAAATGTAATTAGTTGTGTTAATCTGCGGCGAGCAACATAAGTTACATGTATGCACTGTTCCGTAAAATCAGCTGCACGACAACTTCAGGAGACATTCCATTATCTTTTCAAGTTGCTACCTACCTTCATAGCTTTCTTGAGTGATCTTTACCTCGAATCCTATCTTGGTTACCACAGAATCGCTGGTAAACTTCATCCATGCCGCGTGGTTATTGGAAACGACGGATAGACTCGTCAGGAAACCGCTCCAAAGACCAATAACAGAGTCACCATCGGAGGACTCGTGGCCGTTGCCCATGGTCAACGTGTCGTATGTTTGCTCCGTATTGAACACGGAGAAACGGAAGGCAATTGTGGAGCCTTCATCAACTGTGATGAACCAAATGCACTGGGCATCGTTGGGATAGTTGTTTGGGTAATAAGGCGAAGTCAGTGTTTCAGAAGTCTGTGTTGAGTTGCTGAGGGTGATGTTGCTTTTTCCACATGGAACTGTGGAAGAAAATACAACAGTTAATGAAAAATCAGAAAAAATACTAGGTTTCTTGTAAAAACCAAACAATAAGTTTGATTTCAGGAATGGCAGTTGTTTTGCTCTAGGGACAGAAAAAAGAATAAATTAATTGATTCAGAATGTGCACAAGCCTGAAGTTTAAACATTGTATTTGGATAACATGGATCTAACGTTATTCTGATGCGGTATCCGGCCTGCGGCTAGGCGGTGATGTAATACACGCTGCTGAACGGAAAGTTGATATCTGGTTCGTAGCTATACATGTACCTAGTTAGTTTGAACATACTCTGAAAAACTAAAGAATGGTCGTCTGCAAGGTGAGGTGCCGAGAGGCCGCATTAGAATCGCTGAAGAAGGCACTTTTCCAGATATTTCCTATCGTTTTCACAGTATTGCAGGTACTAAGAGGGGACACACTACTGCTCCACTTATGGAAAGTAGACATGCGGCGTCTAGCGCCAGAGCGGAACGGGTTAAACTTGGTCCAAGAGTTGCTTGGGAGGTCCATGTCAGGAGTCGAACAGTAGGCTCGGCGATCAGTACTGTGTCGATCCTTACATGGGAGTCCGTTGTTATGGCATGGGTTCTCCATGAGCTGGTTTTATCGCCCATGTGTACCCTCGAAGCGCCTGTTTGCAAGGAGAACCTCTATGATCTGAACTGTCTAGGGAGGCAGCAAGCGAGACAGTTTGGTGAACAGGCTATTATGCCAAACATTATCGTATCTGAAGTGACGTCTAGAAAAATCGCACCAGGGTTTCAGTTTTCGTTGGTAGCAGTTCTCTATGCATGTGGTAAGTTCGTTCGTTCGTGTCTCCTCCATAGATCATATAATGTCCCTCCATCTCTGGATGCTTGTGATGGCCGTCTCAGTGACAAGGGTCAGGTCCTCGTCCGTGCAGTTTATTCCGCCGCACTCCAGAACATGGTCCATCGTTTGGATCTGTCCGCAGTCACAGATGGTATCTTCTTTATCGGTATACCCCCATCTTGCCATGTTGGCCCTGCACCGCCCCATTCTGGTCCGCAGCCGGTTCAGACATTGCCACGCTGGCTACTTCAAGTTGAGTCCTCTGATGGGTAGAGGCTTGACTGGTGGTGGGGGATTCTGCTCAGGTGGTGGGACAGAATACAGAAAGCTGTGCCGGGATACAAGGCGCTTGTGAGGCGGTTGGTGTCCGTACAGCATGTGCCTGCCATCTGTGCACTGTTTCAGTCGTTCCTTTAGGCAGATGTTAGTGCGCCTTTGGTCTAGAGATCGACCCCAGAGAGATGATATATCTTCTCAACTTTTGTTGGTCTCAGGCAGCCTGTTATCTTTCGGTATGTGTTGTTGAGTGTGGTGTCAAGCTTTTTCACATGAGCTGATCTGCTCCATACGGGACAAGCGTATTCTGCGGATGACATGCAGAGGGCAACAGCTGCTGTTTGTACGGTTTTGGGGTCAGCACCATAGTGTGATGTTGCGAGCTTCCCGATGATGGCATTTCAAGATCCCACTTTACCTATTGTCTTCTGGATGTGCTGCTTATAGGATAAGGTGCGATCGAGTTGCACGCCTAGGTAAACTGGATGTTCGCAGTGTTTTAGCTGCACATTGTTCCACTCTACACAGTTCCCTCTTGGCCTCCCTGTTCTTGAGGTGGAAGACACACACCTGGGTCTTGGACGGGTTCGCTCGCAGGTAGTTTGCTCGGTAGTATTCTGACAGGTTTGCGAGCGTTTTGTTGAGGTGGTGTTCGGAGCTTTTGAGATAGCCTGCTTCACTCCAGGTCACTGGTGAAGCTTGTCCAGTCGGCTTTTCGGACGTTCCATCTTGGTTTCTGGACGGATTTGATGATGGGCAGTCAGATTCCGATGCGGTAAGTGCAAGCACCTGATCTGCTGTGCTGCGGCCGCTCCTGAATCCTGCTTGATCAGGGGAGAAAACCGTCAACAAGAATTAGTGGAGAGATGTGGTTGAGAATCACTCTTTCAAGGAGCTTATAGCAGATGGAGAGGAGCGAGATCGGTCTATATTAACTGGCTGCTAGCTTCGGGTCTTTCCCAGCTTTGGGTATTGCAATGACAGCTGTTCTCCACGTGTTGGGGATCTATTTGTCATAGATCACCCGGGTGAGAGATTTGCTTAGCAAGTTGATGGCTTGGTGTCCCAAGTTCTTGATGAATTCTGGGTAGGCCCTATATACATCTTGTCGTACCCAGCGGCCTTACTTGTTTTCAAATTCCTAACTGCGCTAGTGACTTCGAGTGGTGTGAAGGATGAGGGAGACTAGGTCATACGAGTTTAAGCCGTTTTCCATGCTTGATGGACCTCAGTGTTTCTTGATTTCTTTCTTTCTTGGGTGGACGCTGGGTCTGCTGGAGGTTGGGATTGGCTGTTGTCCCACACCGAGTTAGCATAAGAGTTTACAGCTATTGCGGCTGTATAAGAGTTTTCAGCTTTTGCGGCTGTATAATGTGTGAAGTCTACACTGCTTGTTGTTTCTTCCCATGCCCAGCGACTACGTCTGGCATCATTGAGGGTCTGAATGAGTTATCGGAGATCTCAGCGTTTTCGGTATCTACGTACTGTACTCCGTCAGATGTTGTCGGCATTCTTCATCATATTGAGGCAAGGTGTACTGAAGCCGTGGGGAATATGACGTTTCGGAGCTTTTGAGATAGCCTGCTTCACTCCAGGTCACTGGTGAAGCTTGTCCAGTCGGCTTTTCGGACGTTCCATCTTGGTTTCTGGACGGATTTGATGATGGGCAGTCAGATTCCGATGTCAATTGTGCATACGTACGATGGGTATGTGATGGACGCGTGGGAACCCAGGAAGGGCATTTGGCTGGAAGGAGACATCCATCCTTCGAGAAAACCCACCAGAGGTCTGGAGAGTGCTGCGTTACCCAGCAAACCGATCTGATAGACCCGTGTTGTTTATGTCCAGCACCTTAGGTGGGTGTCTGCGTGGTTGGACCATTTCGTGAGCCATTCGACACTGATGCCGTTGCTATTGTACCCCCAGATGGCGTGGTGGCTATTGAAGTCGCCCACATAAATGGCTGGGTAAGGTAACATAGGTAACGGTAGCGTTGGTCCGAGCTGTGGAAGGAAGCTTGCAGACATTCGTGATCGAGTAGTCTCCAACCGAGATAACGTCGTAGATGTCGTAGATCTACAAACGATGCATCAGTGACGCTGGAGCGGACAAAAGTGGCGCGGCAATATTTTTCGTGGCCTGAGGCTGCAATTGATGAGGTAAAAGTTGGTGATGGTGAGCCTTGATCGTGGGTCGTCATATCTGACATGTATTTCTTGGCGTTTGCTCGTTGCAGAGGGATACAATCCGGTACCTATTGGGAGCTGACATAATGTACAACATTTTTGAACACGTTTGCAAATGAGGAATAGTCTGGTGCCTGCCTGTGCGTCACATTAGCGTTTGTTTTTGTATGCGGTGTGTGGGGTAAAAACACAATCAATTCGTGGCAGCGTGAGTTGTGAAAACACGATTGTTTTTCGAAGTTAAAATGTTACAATCTTATCCCGTCAATACGCAATATCACATTACATAATTAATAATAATGAGCAAATTGGAAAGGAAAGGAGTATTTTTTTTAGAAGGCGTGGACGTTATGAAGGCGTATCCATTACTAGCAAAATGCGGTATAAAATCAGGATGCATGAAGAAAGTTTCCTATCAAGGGCTTACTATTGGAAACGAGGTTGGAAATAAAGTAAGCACTGGGGACGAGGTTAGTCTTGCCCCATACTGAGATAGAGCAATTCAGATTCGAGTAACACACTTATTCGTGCGTCATCCAACATGGTGCGGCCTACCAACCCGTCTCTACAGGGCGCTATTCAACCTTGACCGTGGACGCAACAGCGGCACATTTCAGTAAATATTCTACTAAAGGAAGAAAAATGACGGTGACGAATCAAATCAACGTGAACTTACCATCGCACAATGCACCATTCGCCAGAATGATCAGTAAGAAAATGCGCCATTCTTGATATCTCCTTCTGGTCTGCATTGTTGAACGAGGCACTAACTACACTGCCTTATGATGTACAGACGGAACAGTCGGACGACACCTAATGGAGAAAGAACAAAAAGTCTACAATATTTAAAGAATCTGTCATAAATTAAAAGGATTATTTGCTCTTTTTACCTATTCGAAGGAAAAATTACCCACTGAAATCGTATGTTGGATGCTTAACAACTAACCTGATGAAGATGTATCTCAGTGGCTGGTATTAAGAAAACAGAGAAACAAATATTAAGAACATTTTGTTTTTGGTCTCAAACCTGATTTCGATGCCGTCGCGTGTAGGACATGTTCCCGCAGGTACACTTAAAAAAACACCCCAAAACACTTTCAACTTAAATAGGAGATTTCTAAATGGTTAGAAATTGTCCTCCTAACATGACGATAACTCTCCGTAGTCAAGTGGCTTAAACAGGGGCGGATCCAGGAATTTTTGAAGGGGGAGGGTTTCATCAGCCAAAAAATTGTGAATGTTGACAGGTATTTTACTCCGGACACTTGGTGGGGTGGGGTGGGGGAAGGGTGGGCTCGTACCATGCTTTCAATAGGGGCGCTGTTCAAATCCAACGATTATTGACACTACATTACACAATAGTGTACAAATACCCCCTAACAAAACTGGCTCTGTACGTGTTTTGTGCACAGGCGGACAATATTACCAGTATAATTTTTTGGGTGTCAGAGCAAGGTGGGGGGGGGGGGGGTTCGCATTATTTTTAATGAATTTCTATGAATTTTTTTGACAGAGCTGGGGAGGGGTTTGACCCCCCCCCGGATCCACGCCTGCTTTAATCCAAATTTTGACAAGATCGTGACCGAATGGTTCAAAGCACATGTACAAAGCACAGATACATGTTTATGTCCTTAGAGAAGGTATTTAGAAGGGTGACACCTGAAATTATTTTGGGAAGGGTGTGTAATTTGACTAAATCGTAAATAGCTGCCGTGTAATAAATTTATTCCCATATTTGTTTTGGAATGTTTTTTGAAAAGTATACACTTTATAAGTACTTGTTCAAGTTCTATTTCGGATCTTTCAGATGTTCTCATTATTATCCAGTCACTTGCTTTAGAAAGTGTTATTTAAGTAAGGATATGTAAGTAGAATCAAAAATATATACTTGTCAAAAAAAAACCCAACCCAAAATATGGGAATAAACACATGGCGGCTTTTTACGATTTATGCAAATTAGGCACCCTTCCCAAAATAATGTCAAGTGATTATCTTCTCAAGGGTTATAACAATCTATCTGCTAAGTCTGGTGTTTTGGATCAGTTGGTCACGATTCCACCCATAAGCCACCTGACTACCGTGGCTTTTCTTCTAAACGGTACATGGTATAATTTTACAACTTGGAACAAACATTAACTCTGATCCCAAGGTGTACATATTACCCTGACGTCATGATGACGTCAACATGTATCAAATCACCAGCGATTTTCGTTCAGAGAAATGACAGTTTTCTTTCAAGTGCAACCTATAGGCCTACATGTATCTATCGAGGCAAAACTTTTCTAATTTGTCGCAGAGGAACTACCACTTCTCGCAAATTAAGTACCTAGGCCTATACACAGTACTAAGTAACAGCGAACACAGTTTTTGCAATACATCACGTGAAATCAGTTTATGAGAAACAAGTTGTACCCAGTAGTATTGGTTGTAATTGTACAATCATGGTACATGTTTATTTCACCAATAGTTTACTTACAGACGCGTGCAAAGCGAGCCAGAGAGCTTAGAATCTATTCAAGTTCAGTAATCCTCGTTTCAACGGCACTTCCTCATATTTTAGTCGGTTTGTATTCACATTCCCTCCTCCATGATGCAAATTCTGTCAACAAAATACCGAACGAAACCGCCGCCACAAACAATCCCATATCTGGTGCTGCCCCAGTGATTACGGATAATGGAAGTCAGGGGCGAATTCAAAAGTGCAATACGTATTTCATTCCTCTGGTTTCTGATATGGAGTGGGCCTAAAAAGGAAGCATGCGTCCATTAGAAGTTAAGATATCTGTATTTCGGGATTGAATGTTAAGTGTTCACGGCACACTTATATATAAGATAATCTACAAAATCTATAACATTCCCTCCCCACATGCAAATATGGAACGATTCACTTAACTTAATACATGGACACTACCAGTATATGTAAACAGTATACATGTACCTGTCCATATATACAATTTAAGCACTTAGCAGTCCTACGTACATAAAGTGAGCAAACAATACGACTGAATAATAATTGAAAATACAAGTATATTTACCATGGACAGTAATCATTCTGTGACAACACAGAGTCCAAACATTTAACATCCACATGTACACACCATGGAGTTATTAAAACAGTTCGGTTCAAATTCAACCACACAGAAAATCTCTGGCAATCTCAACCTCATAGAAAATCTCTGGCAATCTCTGTTATTCCTATTTAAATTACATTTTAAAGCTTTTTTCTCCTGCAAAATAGGACAAAATAAGTAGACGCAGCTGCACTATTTTATCCCTATTTTTGTTGTTGCCATGCACTCTATTTCATTTCGAATTTAAAAAATAGAAAATATTTTATGACTATTTTTTTGAGACTTGAAAATTTTGTATAGGGTCCATGGACTATTTTTTGGCCATTTTCTCGACACTTAGACACGGTTATGAGAACCATGGCCTATTTATTTCCTATTTTGTGGACTTACAATAATATCTGAAATCAATGGACTATTTATTTCCTATTTTGTGAACAGTATGTGCTCAGTACAACACAATCGGAGTGACAATCACTTAATTTGCATACCAGATAAGAGATAAACATCCTGTGTGAGTGGCAAGTTTGAATTTTGTCAGTTGCATTATGCAAGCCCTTTGTGAAGTGCAGTGAAGATGTGTGCAACGGGGGCAAGTATCTGGGGTTAAAATGCATCAAAATCACTGTAATGGAATGACAAGTGACAAGTAACTCCGCTTATTGAACAAAGGCATGGTCACCACGCGGTATCATGAAAACTGTTACAATGTATCTATTTCACTGTCAGTCCCGATCCGACTGGAGAAATTAATACCGTGGGAAGTTGACAGTGCACTCGGTGGCCACATCACACAATGGGCTGCGGTCACAGTGACTGTCAATAATATTGCATCACCTGCATTTCTCAACTGTTTCGGTTTATTTCGGTTTATTTCGGTTTATTTCGGTTTTTTCAAAAGATGGCTAAACCCACCCCACCCCACCCCACCCCAAAATGTAAATGCAAAACCGAAACTTACCCGACCCGACTGAAAAGATGGACAAACCGACCCAACCCGACCCGAAGTCGGTTTCGGGTCGGCTCGGTTTCGGTTTCGGGTCGGGTTTGCACATCATTAAGGCCAAAAAAAAAAGGTCTCCGGTTTCTGGTATGGAGCTTGCCCAAAAAGTTTACCTGATTTTTTTGCTTCAAATGTCGTCTGATGACTGCAAATGGTGCCCGACTAAACTTAGTGCAAATATATGGGAGTCCAGAGAGGCCACATCAAGCTATTCTCGACCATAAGCATAACACAATCCGAAACACGTTTAAATTGTGCAGCAGCAGGATTCCAGTCAAACCAGTGAGTTTGGCGGTTTTGAGACATCATCTTTTATTGAAAAAAAAACTTTTTCATTTTGCCGACACGCATAGCTACGGCGACGCGCGCGCATACCAGAAACCGGAGACTTTTTTGTTTGGCCTAATGGACAATTTAAACAACTTGAGCAGTCCTACGTACATGAAGTGAGCAAACAATACGACCGAATAATAATAGAAAATAAAAGTCTAATTACCACTTATCATTCCGTGACAATACAGAATCCAAACACTTAACATCTACATGTACATATACCATCGAGTTATTAAAACGTTTCCTTGTCCTAAATGTGTGGGTTTGGTAACAGTTACGCTGTGACTGATCATCATTACGGCCATGCATTAAATTTCCTTAAGGTAAATAAAGTGAAGATGGGATACTGCAACAATTACAGTCGAGTCTCGTTAATACAAACTCGTTCGGACCTAGCCAAATTGTTTGTTATATCAGAATTTTGTACTAAGAGGAACATCAGTCCCATTCATTGTGCACATAAATGCACAGTCGGGACTAAGGCTTTATGTTTGTTATAACCAGAATTTTGTATTAACAGAGTTTGTACAAACGAGATTCGACTGTACTCCCTGTCTGCGTGCACATAAATTACATCTGCGTCCATTAGAAGTTAAGATATCTGTATTTCGGGATTGAATGTTAAGTGTTCACGGCACACTTATATATAAGATAATCTACAAAATCTATAACATTTTCTCCCCACATGCAAATGTGGAACGATTCACACCATATCCAGCATACTGTTTTATGTACAAACCACGCAGTAGTGTAAATGCAACAACATAAACCGTTAATCTACCCCTTACATAGATGAGAGTAGTCAGGTCGAAATAAAATAGAGTAAAAGTATATTTCTTTCCTATTTAAAATAAACTTTTAAAAAACTATATTTTTTGTATTGTATTTCGCCACCCCCAAAATAGGAGAAAAAATAAAAAAATGAAAAAATATATTCTTAAGAAATAGAGGTAAAATAGAGGTAAAATATGGGTTGCTATTTTTTAAAAATAGCATGCTATTTATAAAAAAAATATAAGAAAATGGTGTTTGTCCGCACAATGGTTTTAACTTAACACATGGATATACCAGTATATGTAAACAGTATACATGTACCTGTCCATATATACAATTTAAGCACTTAGCAGTCCTACGTACATAAAGTGAGCAAACAATACGACTGAATAATAATTGAAAATACAAGTATATTTACCATGGACAGTAATCATTCTGTGACAACACAGAGTCCAAACATTAAATATCTACATGTACATACCATGGGGTTATTAAAACAGTTCGGATCAAATTCAACCACACATATCCCTCAAAGAAAATCTCTGGCAAAATCCTGTTATTCCTATTTATAAAGTTTTTTTCTCCTAAGAAATAGGAAAAAATAAGTAGACGCAGATGCACTATTTTAT